AATTCAAAGCAGCAGCAAATTGTATACGAGATTGCAACACGAGGCATACGCACACACAAATACACACATCTTCTTGAGCGATCGGATTACATTACTCAAGAAATTTTTTGGAGAATTTGAATCAACCGACGCAGAGAGATGTACATGTCGAACTGGTCGCCGGACCTTCGCGCGCGCGGCCGCGGCAGGAATTTTTCGATTCATTTTCATAAGAGCAGGTACCGAGTTCGTTCAACTATGTGTGTGTTATAAAAGTGTCTGTACGTGCGTGTGTTGCAATGCAAATGAGTGAAAAATTCGGTGCAAATAAGGAGATGGGATCGAACGATTTTTCAAATGTCACGAAACATTTCACCCAAAGCAGAGTCAAGTGGGACTTGGACAACTTCGACGGTTGTCTTTTGTTTCACGATTAGCGACGATTCGAGTAAATTATAGATAATTTGACTAAATTAATATTTACGACTTAATTTGCAATGGGATACTTTTACTCGCTGCTTCTTTTCACTTCTTGCGCAAATAATCGTAATCGGGCGTAAAAACTGCGAGAACGCAAAAAAAAAGTTTAAATCTCGATTATTTGGTGTCCACTTTTTGTTTTAGCTTAATTTTTTTACGTCGACTCTCAAATGTATACCATCGTATAACATTGAAATGCACGGCTATTTCATAAGGATAGAAAATGCACGAAGTTTTCCTCGGTCATCAAACCAATTTAAATTTCAAATGAGGATGCTTCAGGAAAAAAAAAATTATTATTTTTATGCTTCACCTTGCAGACTACCGAGAAAAATGGAGGTAAAACTAATACAGCCTTTACAATAGTTCAATGAACTTTGGTCTGCTTACGTTTGAAAATTTTCTGGAATATTTCAGAATTGTAATTCATGATCTGTGATTCCCATGGATGTAGTGATGTTTTCTAATGATGTAATCGATAATAAGCTTGTACTTCCTCGGAAGATCAAAATATCATTTGAACCTAAATTGCACGCACAGCATGAAAAGAAGAAAGTAAAAAAAAAAAAAGATTCAGTCGGCGGAACACGTGGATTCAAATGTGGCAATGACGCAAAATCGTCTGGCGCAAAAGAATTCTTTTCAAAATCGTATTTTACAACTGTTTTTTTTATCGCTAGGGTAGCCTCGATATATTACTTCGAACTTTCGATGAAAATAAAATAATTTCACAAAAAGCAGAGTACCATTGCACTCGGATTTATTTATTCGAGATCAATGAGAGTTTTTATCGATGTTTTTTTTATTTTTTCAAGGAAATGATTATTAATAATGTAGATCAATTTGGGTACTCGAATACTATCACGTAGTAAAACTTCCATAACGAATTTTCGACACTCCGACGACGAGCACACGCGGCCCCGGACCGAGTCAAAATAAAAAGATTACGAGCAATTACTCTCGCATTGCTGAGGTTTTGAAGTTGTATAATAGCGACGGAGAAAAATAAGAGTTGGCTGTGATTATGTATCTTTAACCTTGCTTTTACTATACGAGAGAGATGATGAGACTAGGTCAGCGAATCGGCAGATTGTATAAATTAAAAACTTTCACTGTAACATCGCATCGCAAAAAATATTCCACTTTCGGAATGAATGCTGTATTAATACTATTTGAGATCAATAGCTAATGCGAAAATGATTTGTTAAACTGAGCTCGTTTAAGGACTAATTTTGAAAGGAGAACACTATTCTACACTACAATTATTAAACTGGCACAAAGTGTATCGATTAAAAAAATTCAATGCGCGGCCAACTGCTTCGAATGAGGAAAAAATTTTCAAAAAACATTGTAAAGAAGTTAATTTTATTTTTCAGGATTCTACCTCGAGCCTTTTAAATCCCAGGCATAAATCGTAGCACGGGCTCGAAAATATTCTCTTTTCGCACTGGCTTCGTCACGTATCATTAATAAACTTATTTTTAACCAATAAAAAAATTTAAGTGATTTTAACACTGATCTGTGTAATGACTTACCACACCTAGGTTTTATCAAGTGAATTTATTTATATCCGATCGCTGGGCTCCATTGAAATATCATCTTCCTAATTTCAATTTACGATGTATTTTATAACCACGGACTCTCAGGTGTTTCTGCGATGTCGTACGTCTGAAAAAAAATTATAACATTTTAAAATACGCATTCCCTTATACACAGTGATCACCACAATTATACAGATATATTGAATAAACTTGATTTTTGACTTGTCTCTTTGACGTTCGCGTCCACGCGTGTATACAATTTTGAGAAAAATGACATTCATTTTGCAGAATTTAAAGTTTAAATTTTATCAAAATAATTCTTTTGCAGAATTTAATCTCGGCGGTGTTCTTAAAATATTATCGTTGTAAAAGTGTATTTCAATGTTAAATAAGCGACGTATGGAAAATACCAGTTTGTATACCAGTAACACACTTCATCACATGGATGTACTTTTATTCGCATTCCTCGAGGAAAAAAATTTTTTTTTTTAATTCACAACGTTCATCGCATTAAAATATCAATCTTTCGGCCGAGCAGAAAAAAATAATTAAATAGTGGGGTACGCTCGAGCACAAATTAGCACTTATTTTAACGTTAACGAGCCGATCATCGAGTGTACATTGATAAAGGATTAGGACGAGCGCGATTCCCGCATGAATTACCGGTTATAGAAAAACGGCTTAAATCCGGTAACGCGCGCGCACGTGTGTGCAATAAAATCATCGTAAGTACACGCTGGTCGATGATGGGGCCCATTTGAGCCATTGTCCCGCGGTGAGTTGCTGCGACGGTGCGCAGCGGAGAAAGCAGAAAAAGCGTATATAATATATAAAAAGATGAAAGCACGGTCGAGGCGTAATTCTTGGCATAACTCCGCGGCGCGCTTATAATACCCGCGCGCGCGCGCGCGATATGTGCTGCAAAATCGACGCTCGCGAAAAAAAAATACATAACGTTAAATACGTAAGAAAAAACAAGTGGACGGTTGGGTCGTTACTTTTTTTTTTTTATATGAAAATAAAAGCGCGCGAGAATTTCGCGCGTTTGAACGATATTTATAACCGAATCGAGCGCGTGTACACATAAGTAGGTACGCTGCGCTTATGTATACAATATTTATCATTGTGAATCCGCGCGAAGGACTAGTTTCCGTGTGTAATTTATGGCGTCGACGTGCGAGATGACGACGACGATCGAACGGTGACGTCGTTTTTGCACCTATATACACATGCACAAAGGATATACTAGCATAGGTATATATAGAGGATACTTACTTCGAGGCTCGTTACGCGCTGCATCTTCGCGCGTAAGCACGCGAGTGAGAATTGCGATCGTGCCGGTGAATGTTTTGCTCGTTAAACGATCGTATATAATGCTCGTGTGTACAGGTAATTGGCAGTAATCGAATGTATTATTATTATTTATTCATAATACAAAATTGGAATTGGTGTGCTGGCACCATCTCTAAATTGAACACGAGTTTTTAAGTTCGCAATAACGCGATGGCTTTTGAGTCGCGCAAAACATCGAATCGTCTCGTTGATCACCTCATTGTGTCGATGCAGAAGTGCGCTGCGCGCAAGGGTGACACTTACTGGACCAGAGTCAATTTGGCCTGGGATTACGAGTCAACTCAATCCCATTATCCCAGTATCTTAGTAAATGAACATCTTTAAATAAGTCTTTCAAACAAATAAAAAAGATCGTACATCTTTATTTTTGACGCGATCGAACATACATGTACATACATTAAGTTACAATGCATTAATGCCGGGTGCGTAGTGATGTGTACTTCGATGATTCTTGTGTGAACTAAGCTAACTTGAATTTCGAGACGATTTTTTCGTGCATTGATTTTTCTACAAGTGTCGCATAAATGTGTTCATTGTATATTCTGTAAATTCTTGTGCATTGTGCGAAGGTGGCGTTTTAGATAACATTTCAGTGCAAACGTCTTTCCACATGTATTGCATGAATGTGTAAGACCATTATGCACTGAGTTAATGTGATTTTTGAGATGACTTTTTTGTGTAAAACTCTTTTCACATTTATTGCATGAATGTGTAACACCATCATGAATTGATCTGATATGTCGATTTAGATCCCATTTCCTCTTGAATATCTTTTCACATATTTCGCATGTATGCACTAAGGCGATGTGATTTTTGAGACATTGTTTACTTGCAAAAATCTTTCCGCATGTGTTGCATGTATTTGTGACGCCTTTGTGAACCATGTCAATGTGTATTTTTAAATTACTCTTAGTTTTATATTCTTTCTTGCATATTTGACACATGTAGGTGATATCTTTATGCACTTCCTTCATGTGTTCTGCGAGGCAACTTCTTTTTATGTATGACTTTTGGCATGTTTTGCATGCATATTTGACACCATTATGCACTGAGTCAACGTGATTTTTGAGATGACCTTTTTGTGTAAAACTCTTTTCACATTTATTGCATGAATGTGTAACACCATCATGAATTGATCTGATATGTCGATTTAGATCCCATTTCCTCTTGAATATCTTTTCACATATTTCGCATGTATGCACTAAGACGATGTGATTTTTGAGACATTGTTTACTTGCAAAAATCTTTCCGCATATGTTGCATGTACTTGTAACGCCTTTGTGAACCATGTCAATGTGTATTTTTAAATTACTCTTAGTTTTATATTCTTCCTTGCATATTTGACACATGTAGGTGATATCTTTATGCACTTCCTTGATGTGTCTTGCGAGGTAACTTCTTCTTGTGTATGACTTTTGGCATGTATTGCATGCATATTTCCCACCATTATGCACTAAGTCAACGTGATTTTTGAGATTACCTTTTTCTGTAAAACTCTTTTCGCATTTATTGCATGAATGTTTGACACCATCATGAACTGATCTGATATGTCGATTTAGATAACATTTCCTTGTGAATGTCTTTTCACATACATTGCATGTATGTGTGACACCATTATGCACTGAGTCAATGTGATTTTTGAGTTGCCATTTGTGTTCAAAGATTTCTTCACATATATTGCATGTAAGGGTGATACACACTCTATTAATGTGGGGTTTGAGTCTATTGGTATAGTTAAGCTTTGTTATATCTCTTCTATTTTCATTTTTTTCCTGGAGTTCACGATCAAAATTCACAACCATTTGTTTTTTCCCTCTGCCCTCAGTTTCTATTTTAATTATGTTCTGAGATTTATAATCCATGCTATATTTCGTTTGTTGAAAGTGATTTGCAGAATAGATATCAATTTTCTTGACTTTAAATAAATTCACTATGGGCTTCACATCTTTACACTCAAATTCAATTCCCATTTCTTCCAGTTCAATCTCATGATTTTTGTTAACTTCTTGAAGCGTCTACAAAAAAATATCAAATCATATCAAAGTATTTGTAAAAAAGTTTTTTATGTGAATTGTATATGATTGCCAACTCTCACCGAACATTCTCCAAAGAAACGAACATTTTGACCATCAGGCGTCCTGTCGATTAATTCATGAGCATCATTTCCTGTCAGCGGGTCATCAGGCAGTTCTTCCTTCACTCTGAAATAATTGAATAATGTGATTGAGTATAATGCTTCATGTACATTTTCATTTTAATTTGAAAAATCACCTGACAGCACAGTTCAATAAACCGCTGCATTCCATTTTACCCACTTAAAATTTCGTTGAAGATTCAATTTTTCTGTAACAATTTCAAACCAAATTTAATTTAATAATGTTTACAAACAGTGACGTCATTGCATAATGAGCAATAATAATTGTTGTACACAATGTTAGCAAAAAAAAGAAAAAAGCAGCGTAAACTGCGATTACCGATTTCTTCCTACTTCCAAGCCGTGTAAAGAGTCCACGAGGTATTGACTTATGGCGGAAAATCTTCCGAAAATTTATAACCATAAACAACAATCCTCTGCGTCGTTGATTTATGAACAGAACGAACGAATTATAAGTGGCCAAAAGGGCGTATCAAAAAGAGGTGTAAGGGTACAATTCAATATCACACACACATAAAGTGCAATGCGAGAAGAAGCTCGTCTCCGCGCGTTTAATATCTATACTGCCTTGCCGTCTCTACCTGCATTTGCACACAAACATACAACACATAAACTTGCTTATTAAAATAGAGGCGCACATTGCGATCCGCGCGTGCCTGTGTATATTAGGTGCGCATCGTTCGTCGTCGTGCTGCCGCACGGATCTTATTAGCATGATTTTAGAATGGTTGCGCTTTGAGCAATACCCCGCGTACATGAGCGGTGGTATCTCTGCACCGTGCAGCAGCAGCAGCACTCAACGTAACACACATAACATGCACACACACACACACAAAACACAGTCGGCCGCGCGGTCTCGGCTGCAATTGCGAAAAATCCGAACTTTAATTGCGCTATACACTCGCGGCGGTGCGAGTTTAGAGCTTCGCACAACGAGCCCCGCTGGTAGTAGTGTAGTAGTAAGTGTGCGTATTATAATCCGCGAATTACCGCATGCAAATGTACGTGTGTATACTCGCACGCGCATTTGGACACATTATGCGCGCACGGGCTTAATTCTCTGTAATGGGTCGTAACTCGTAGGCGCGCGTATATACGTTTGTTTGTATTATGCACAAATTGCATGTAAATTGTGTGTATACGATACGGACCTTAAAAGTATGAGAAGCGAATTCGTACGATTCGCCGGGGGAGACTCGTCGAAAAACGTATCCAAGTGGCGACCTGGCACGCGTCTATACGCTGGTGCTTTTGACGCAATACTTCAACACTCGTGTCGTGCGTCGATCGTCGACTGATCCACCGCTCGTTATACTCACAATTACGTTATTTCGATCGAATTAGCCGTGGATAATCCGTAGCTGTGGAAATTCGATCCGGTAAGTACACAAGTCGAAAACAAAAAAAACCCGTTGAGTTTTCTAATCCCGCGACGCGGGTTCACTCACTTTGTTTGTTGGCTGCGAATTCGCGCCTTCGCCTACTCTACCGTCATTGAGCGACGCCATGCGGCAGTTTTCAGAAATACGATGTCGATAATGTAGAAAGTTTAGTGAGTGATACAGTGAGTGAGCAGACGACGTCGCAAAATTTCTGACATTATTATTGGAATTGGCGAGAGATTGGTAAATCGCCGTGCGTACGGCGCGTGTAAACTAACCTACTGCATTTACAAAACATTGAATGTTATAATATTCATTGTTCAGGATGAATTTCGTTGGACGACAGTGTTTGAGGATCTTGAAGAATGACTCGACCGCCACAAAGCATGTGCTTGGTTTTGGCAGAAGTGTCTCCTTCAAGAGCGCCTACTCCTTGGAGAATTTGTATCCAAAGAGTAATTTGACTATCCACACACCAAAATTTGTAAGTTGTCATAATAATGCGTTATTTTTTTTCATGCGTGTAAATTTTATTCTCCTGACTTTTTTGTAATCAAAACTGACTTGTATGATAGTTGACACTCATTGTAATTTAATTACTTTGTAGGTCCCTGAGGATCCTAATGCCAAATTCACTGGATATATTCCATTAAAAGAATTAGACATAACGTTCTCTGGTAGCAGTGGTCCAGGAGGTCAAAATGTCCAACGAGTTAACACCAAAGTTGATCTGAGGTTTAACGTGAAATCTGCCACTTGGATCGATGATGAACTCAAAGAAAAAATATTAGAAAAAGTAGGAATATTAGACTAATTTTTTAATCTTTTAAGTCATTTTCTTTTACTAATTCTGCATGAATCTTTTCAGTACAAAAACAGAATAAACAAAGATGGATACTTGGTGATTAAATCAGAATTAACAAGATCTCAACAGTTGAATGTAGCCGATGCTATGCAAAAGTTGAGACAAATGATTCGTGATCTCATTGTTGTACCTGTAGAACCCGATCTAGTTGCAGCTGAAAAGCATAGACTAAGACAGATGAAAGCTGCTCAAGAAAGAGTCTTTACCAAACGAATGAATGGAATGAGGAAAAGAAACAAACAGGCACTTGATAGAGATTAGTCAAACACTAAACGTAAAAAATTTGTAAATATCCATAAAAACGAAGTTACTTTTAATAGTGTTTAATAAACAAATCTTAATTATGACATGGACGTCTTTTTCATTGTAACTCACCTTTTAATTCTGAGAAGGTAACAAATTGCAGGTTAAGCCTATTTGCATTATGTTGCCATAGCGACAGTTGGAAACTGGAAAAATGTAAACATTGTAGCTAGTGTGCCTGCAGCACAGTGTATTATAATTACTTTAATGTGACATTTATTATCATTAAAATTTTTATACTCTTAGTTTACACAATGTCTTTTCGAGAACTAAGAAGTACGTATTGGTTTATTTATAAATGAGTAACTTTACAGTGAATAACACTTGTTTTAATTGATTTGAAATTTTGATGTTTAGATTTCACTGAAATGATGCGTGTCTTGGGCTACCCAAGACTGATATCTTTGTCTAATTTTCGACATCCCAATTTTCCTTTGATAGCTGAAATACTTATATGGCTTGTAAAAAGATTTGATAGTGATGCCAATATACCAAGTGATCATAGTACAGAGCAAGAACGCGTAGCTCTGATTAGACGGGTTACTGAGTTTATGGTTTGAATCCAATATTGAAATTTATTTTGAACATAATCAATCTCTGATAGCTTAAGAAATTTAACATAATTACATTATTTCAGATAAAAACAGTGAATATAAGACTGAATACAAAAAAATTGTACATGGCTGACAGCCAAGCGGTTCCAGAATTGTTGAAGATGACCACATTGTTGTACGAGGCTCAATCACAGAGCACAGATGATCTATTGTTATCAGAAAATCGACCACCCGTTAACTTTGATATTCCTGAAAGAATCAACGATCTAAAAGCTACAAGACAGTTGGCTAGCCAATTGACAATCAATGGTGCATCTCTGTACGATTTGCTAGGAAAAGAAGACGAATTGCGAGAAATTCGAAATTCCAGAGTTTCTCATCAGTATGACTCTTCAGAAATCGAAGGAGCCGTAAAAGAGGTCATCGAAAATACGAAAAAAGAAATAGAAGAGATGAAGCATTTAATTGAAAATGTGAAGGTAACTAATTACCGCAGTGCAAACTTGTATCGATTTTTTATCAAAATTGCGATCCTCCCTTTCATCCAGGACACGGAGCAAAATTTAGACACTCGCATCGAGCGACGGAAAACCGAACTCGAGCGCAATCAGAAGCGGCTCCAAGCGCTACGCAAAGTCAGGCCGGCCTTCATGGAAGAATTCGAGAAGCACGAGGTCGAGCTCAAATCTTTGTACGACGATTATCTGCAAAAATTCCGTTACCTGGCGTACCTGGAGCATCTGTACGACGACGCGGCCAAGGCGGAGCAAGAGAGATTCGAACGAAAGTGAGCTAGTGAATTTTTTTATGCTTTAATGATAGTTTGTGCTGAAATATCGACGATTATGATAAATTTTTCAGGCAAGCAGCGACGAAGAAACAACTCGAGCAATTGAGGGTAGACGACGCGAACGTCGATCTTATGGAGGGCAACGAATCCATGTTCAACACCAAGATCCCGAGCAGCTTGAATCTTGCCGAGGGTGAAAAGAATCCCGCGGAGAACAACAGTAAAGGTAAATTTTTATTAATTAAAATAATTAAAAAAAAAAGATCTACATAAAATTGAAAATCTCGATTTCTTCGCAGACACCAAAAAATCGGCCAGAATAAATCTGAGCCAGCGACGACTGTACGGCAGCATGTCCGGGCGTCATCCGGGCAAGCTCAAGGAGGCGAACGGCAGCGTCGGCTCGTCGGACTCGGACAGCGATCTGCTGATCGACAACATCGACGACGACGACGACGAGGACGATCTGCTGAATTCCGTCGATCCCAACGTCAACGACTTCAACGTCAAGTCCAACAGCGACGAGAAGAGAGCCGTGAGCAAGGTCGACCACACGGATGACGAGTTTTAGAAGGGATATAAATTAATTCAGGCGAGAGTAACGATAAAAATTATTTTTTTACACTTTATTAAGTAATATCTTTGTTTTTGCGGATAATTTGGTGTTTTTGAAAGAAAAAAAAACAAAATCGGTATGAACGGTGTACAAACAAATGTTTTACCGAGAACTGAATTGACTACAGTGAGAAATTGTTCGATGGTCAAATTATTCAATTACACTTAAGTAGCAACAAAATTACAAGAACGCAAGTTTCATATAGATTTCAACAATAAGGTACGTAGATTATAATCGCATGTAATTTCGGATAGTTTAATTTGTCAGACTGCGTTTTTGCGACGATCGCAATAATTCTGAAAAATAAAGTATCCAACGCCGAATTTGTATTTTATGTACAAATATAACATGTACGATACTATTAATATATTTAATTGTGTATATACCTACATTTATAATTTTTAAATTAAAATTTTACTCGATGACAAAATTAGTTCCAATATGTATTGTAGAATTTTCTATATAAATTGTTCAACAGTTTAAAAAATTTCCTTCGCAAACTGCTTGACTATTTTTGAAGAGACATCGAATAATCGTGCATTTGATATCACTTTAGACTCTCTTTATTTTACCTAATAAAACGATAATTAAAAATTTTTCACTCTTAAAATTTTCTCTTAACAATTTTCATAATTTACCTAAACTCAGAATGAAATCTTACATTTATTGGTAATGCTAATTTTTTTTTTACACAAGTGAGATATAGCATGGACTAACTACAGATATGCGTGTTTTGCTTGAAGTCTTAATATTTATGCCGGTTGAATACTTTTTTTTTTATTCAAGTATAAAAAGTTAAGGTGCAGATTGTTCGAAAATACTCTTACTTTCTCAGCGACTCCTTATGATATAAAAAAATTTTATTTTTATTTTTAAAAGTCATGTTTGTGTAGACCATTAAAGATAGGCAATATTTTTTTTCTCTTATATGCGCAATGATAGATGTAAATTATTGTTGCAAATCAGAGTCGAATAAATAAAGCAACGAGTAAAATCGGATTAAACATTTTGTGCCTTTTGAATGCGTTAACAGTGATCGTCTTGCGAATATGAAAAATATAAAGTCGACACTTAAAAGCTATTTTGAAGATTTTGATACGTTCATTTTAAAAACAGCACCATGTAGCATTTTAAGATTTATATTCTGTTCTTTAGGCATTCGTTAAACCTACTTTACACATATTTTGAAAATTGAAAGATCAGGATGAATTATTATAAAAATACGTTTTAAAGTACACTGCACCGTTGATTATTATTATTAATTCATCATTAGTTCACCACATTAGTTTTGCACACTCCCCATCCTTTTGAAATTCTAAAATTTGATAACTCACGAGAGGACGCGTAGTAGTCGTCATCTCTCGCGCTCGTAAAATCACAATCACATATTTATTTATCAATATATATTTCACTCCAAACCATTAAAAGAGATTATTCGGCATTGTTCGAGTTATTTAAAAATTATCGAGTGCATCTAAATTATGCGCGTTTTGGTACGAATACAACGAATCGAAATTTAATACTAGGAGCTTATGCATACCCTGCGAATAGTGAAAATTGAAAATTCTCATGATTTCTTTCCTAAATTAATTAATACACATAGATATAGGTACATATTGTGCGTTTACAGTGTGAAAAAGCTCGTTTCTTGTACAAACGTACACGCTTTATATTTATTTTATAGAGAGTAAATCTCATTTATATCTCTCGTTACAAGCAGTCTAAATCATGAGAAAAAAAAACCTCATCCATTCGTTACATTGTAATTTAATATAATAGTACCTCTGAAGCTTGAATAATTATAATGTAGATAATTCGAGTACGTTCATATTTACACTTGAATATATTTGTCGTGAAAAATCGCGCAGGTACACGCAGCATCGACGTGATTCATCATCATCATCATCATCATCGGCGTCTTCGAGCGTAATTGTAAAAGTAAGTCCTGGCGAGTATCGGCCTGCCAGCGGTGAAATTATGCATTATCTCGTCGTCGTCGTCGACGTCGCGATTCGGCCTGACGGACTGCTACCTCACGGCACCCGTGCTCTCGCTCGACTGCTCCTGCTGCTGGGGCATCGGCGCGGGTGGCTGCTGCAGCTCCGGCAGCCCAGGACAGATCTTGGCCAGCTGCTGCCAGGTGGCCTCGACCCGATCCGCAAGCTTGTCCAGATACTTGTAGGCCGTGCGATCGACCGTCGAGGCGGTCTTGACGCAGTCGTCGCCGCCGAACTCGCAGACCCGATAGTGATGGAGTATGGCGGCGTCGGCGGGCACGTTGACCGTGGTGTGGCCCGGCACGAATTCCCAGACGAAGTGATTGCCCGTCTCGACGACGTCGCGCGGCCTACAGACGTACTTGCTGCGCTGCTTGTGCGGATGGAGCTTGGAGCGACGACGCGTCTTGCGCAGCGTGACGAGGCCGGCCTCGGTGGCGCGACGCGACGTGCGCACGTACGGGTCGTCGGGCCATTGCAGGTAGAAGAAGGCGTTCTGAAAGGAGTAGGCGCCGGCCGTCTTGGTGTTGACTCGGGTGCCCATCCATCTGTAGCGAGAAGGAAAATTAATTGAAAATTAGGTTGTTTGCTTGGAAAATCTTGAGTTGTTAAGTTTCAAGGAATGAAAAAAAGTAGTGATGAATAGAGGTTGCTGGAGTAAGGGAAAATTGTTGTACATCCAAAAATTTGATAAGTATTGACTGTCCGTTGAACAGACATTATAAATCAGATTACAATTCGTATATTCAATTTATAAGTAATTATTCATCAAGTGGTAATGACTTAATTGTAGGTGGTCGAAAGCCAAAAATGAAACCCAATAACAAAAACTTCGGGAGTTAAAAAGACCGATTTTTTTATTATTTTTGTCAAATAGTATAAAAAAGAACCTTTTTATATAGCATAGGAAATTCCGTCGTTCCATCCAAGGACCTTCAAAGAAAATGTCGAGGAAACTTTTCCGACAATGTTTTATTTAACGAACGTCAAAAAAATTGTTACGATAAATATTAGCGAAATCTTTGGAAAACTATCGTGGACACTACAGTAAACTCAACATCTTTTTATTAAAAAAAATTATTTTTGTCAACAAAAAAAAATGTAGAGTATTATCTTACTCGAAAGCTTTTGAATTTATAAAAAAGTATGTAAGATAAAAATGTCTTAGAAAGTTATCGGTGAACATTCTATATATTTTCCCAATTTTTCATGACGATAGTGTTTCTAATTTTGCATAGCCAATACCTATATGATTCTTAGACCCAAACCACCTATATCATTTTTCCTTACTCTTGAGACTCCTATAAGAGCAACTTTCAACTGTCAGTATTCACGTACAGAAAAAAATTTTTTTTTCTTAATTTACCTTCATAACTTAAAATTTTTGCGTGCAATTGAGATCACATACCTGATGAGATCGAGGATCGTGTCCTCGTGCCTGGGCACGATGAACTCGTCGAGATCGAGCAGCGCCAGATACTCGTACGAGTACATGGACCTGTAGAGGCAGTCGTTAAGCGCGGCGAACAGTCCCTCGGTGCGTATCTCGCGCTGCGAGATCATGTCCAGCCGGTGCCAGGGCAGCAGCGTGACGCGGCCGCGCGACTCGTAGTAGCGCAGCGCGCAGCCGGCCTCGGGCCCCAGCGTGTCGTTGTACAGGGTCACGTGACTCGCGCCCAGTATCGTGTGCAGCTCGATGAACTCGATCAGTTGCAGCACCTGCGACAGTGCGGAAAATCGGTAAGGTGATCGTTACATAATCGGGTATTCATGCCTTGAATTCGAATTATCGAAGTTTTGCTGTGTAATTTAATTCACGATGCGTCGAGTGTAATTTTTTCTTTTTTTGTGTCATCCCAAACTAAAGTAAAATTTTATTCCCGCTGAGTGGATTCATGAAAAAACTGTATTTTCATCTATATGTAGCGAAAAAAGAAAAGTTCTTCATCCCCAAGGTGCAAAATATACTATGCTATTATATTGCCGTGGTGATGACCAATATAGCATTAATAGAATGTGTGTTGTATTGATTTTGAATCTTGACACTAGAGAAAGATGATATTGGTTAAATTATTCCCACAAATGAAATGTGGCCCAAGTTCCTTAAGTTTAATGATACATTTTCAGTGTGGTGAATTTTGTTACACTTTTCATGAATAAATTTATGATAATTCCTTACCCTGTTGTAATCGTAATGCAGCGGCTTGACGCAGACGGCCAGCGGTCGGCGCTCCTTGGGCCGCTGGCTCGGTCGATTTCGCACCTGGATGCGATTCGTCGGGGGCACGCGCAGCCTCGCCACGATGCTGACCTCCTTGGGCACGCGATCGCGGCCCGCCGAGTCGGCCGGCGCGTCCCTCGGCAGCGGGCAGATGACGAAGCACGCGCTGTACTTGAGATTCCAGTTTTCTCGGATTACCTATATACATACATACATACATATAGGTGCAGAAGCAGAGAGAGAGAGAGAGTAGTGGCACGATTAGAGCAGCGCTATAGTTATCGGTATTTCGCTTTTAACGTTAATCGAGCGGAATAATTGGAATTTCGAATTCGTATCGCGTGCGTGTGTATGGTATGTGTACGAGTGAGAGGCACTCGTGGAGCGATTTAACGATTGAAAAGTAATTGCGGTTTACGTGATTTATAATACGTTATTCACAGTATTGTACTTTGAAAATTTTCTCATCTCGTTGAATTTCAAAAGTATCGGGTACAATTACCCTGGTATGAAATGATCAACATTAATAACGGCCTAACGATCGGAAAATGCCCATTTAAAATGTTTCAATGTTTGGGATAATTTATTGGATTGTTTTTGGCAATTTTTACGTTACAGTTACGTTAGAAATAATAAGCACGTGTTTTTAATAGTTTATACAGTGAAAAAAATGACTATTGTTGCAAAATGAATGTTTCAATCGCAATCACAATATTGAAATTTATTTCTGAAAAATTGGTCCCTTCTTACGACTACTTGGAATACGTTTAATTATCACTTTAAGCCTCGCCCGCTAGATGGCGAGTATCTTCGTTTGTGTAAACCCGCAAGTGGCACCGTCAAAATGAACGTATAAGTCAAATAAAATGTAAAAAAGAACTGAATGTTTCTACTTATTCGTTTTTCTGTCCAATAAACTTTTTCATTGGCGAAAATTTGACCGTAAAATGTTGAACGTTTCTATATCAGGATAACTCCAGAATACAATATCACGCAGAAATTGTCAAGCAACGCGCCAACGAAAATATCGTTCGATATACCAATTTTATATAGTATTGAGCAGTTTTTTCATATATGTACAACTTTTGTGCGGGGGGTTCTTGGATCTGCCCCAAAATTTAGTATGTTATTTGGGTATGTGAAAATAGCCTTCAGGTAAATTTTTAGCCCTCTAGAGGCCTTAGGGCCCAAATTTGGGCCCCTCGAAGGTCCAAAAATAGCCGTTTTTACCTATTTTTGCGTATTATTCAAATATTTGTAACTCGGGCACCGGTGCATATTTTTTAACTCTGAGGGTCGCATTTTTTAGGTCAAGACATGTACTTTTCGTAAAAAAATTATGTAGAGCTCGATAGACCAACCCCCGGTTATGGGGGGGCAATGAAGGGGGATGAAAAATCGCAAAATTGACGTTTTTTAGCTTTTTTTGAATTGATGCAGAAGGCGACTGGATTGACGTATTTACTTTTGCAACGTCTCATTTTAAAGGTATTTTTATTACCTTTAAATTGCCGTGCGCAGAATTAAGATTGGTTCAAAAACGACGGAGATAGAGCTGTTTAAAGGTGTCAACATTATGAAAAAAGGCGTTTTTTCGAGATTTCGATAAGCTGTAACTTTTTTCTAGTAACATGAATCTCTTTGAAATTTTATGTGAAAGTAGTTGATTACATGTAGTTTGAAGCCATGTAGGTAAGGATCTTGGTATTTGCCTCTATAACCGAAAACGAGGCCCCCGAAATCCGGCACTTTAGCCCTTATATAGGCAAAATACATGTTAAATTGGGCGGCAAAACTATTTGGTAACTCCTGAAATTATCGCAAAATAAACATAAAAAAAAAATCAAAAACCCCATATTAAACGTATTTTTCGACGAGGAATCCAATGGTAACCTCGAATTTGACCTTGAACATAACCTCTAAACTATAGCGAACCAAAATTGATTTTTCGCACGGTGACCCCCTTTTTTTATTTCAGATTTGAAAAGAGCGGAAAATTTCACGTTCAAATACATATTTCGTTTTTTTTTTCAAGGTAATTTTAAGGGCCCCACAGTTTGAAAATGAAGGCTCCATTAAAACTAATATTAAACTCAGCCAAAGAGTTTATTCTTGATCTGTGGGGCCCTTAAAATTACCTTGAAAAAAAAAACGAAATATGTATTTGAACGTGAAATTTTCCGCTCTTTTCAAATCTGAAATAAAAAAAGGGGGTCACCGTGCGAAAAATCAATTTTGGTTCGCTATAGTTTAGAGGTTATGTTCAAGGTCAAATTCGAGGTTACCATTGGATTCCTCGTCGAAAAATACGTTTAATATGGGGTTTTTGATTTTTTTTTTATGTTTATTTTGCGATAATTTCAGGAGTTACCAAATAGTTTTGCCGCCCAATTTAACATGTATTTTGCCTATATAAGGGCTAAAGTGCCGGATTTCGGGGGCCTCGTTTTCGGTTATAGAGGCAAATACCAAGATCCTTACCTACATGGCTTCAAACTACATGTAATCAACTACTTTCACATAAAATTTCAAAGAGATTCATGTTACTAGAAAAAAGTTACAGCTTATCGAAATCTCGAAAAAACGCCTTTTTTCATAATGTTGACACCTTTAAACAGCTCTATCTCCGTCGTTTTTGAACCAATCTTAATTCTGCGCACGGCAATTTAAAGGTAATAAAAATACCTTTAAAATGAGACGTTGCAAAAGTAAATACGTCAATCCAGTCGCCTTCTGCATCAATTCAAAAAAAGCTAAAAAACGTCAATTTTGCGATTTTTCATCCCCCTTCATTGCCCCCCCATAACCGGGGGTTGGTCTATCGAGCTCTACATAATTTTTTTACGAAAAGTACATGTCTTGACCTAAAAAATGCGACCCTCAGAGTTAAAAAATATGCACCGGTGCCCGAGTTACAAATATTTGAATAATACGCAAAAATAGGTAAAAACGGCTATTTTTGGACCTTCGAGGGGCCCAAATTTGGGCCCTAAGGCCCCTAGAGGGCTAAAAATTTACCTGAAGGCTATTTTCACATACCCAAATAGCATACTAAATTTTGGGGCAGATCCGAGAACCCCCCGCACAAAAGTTGTACATATATGAAAAAACTGCTCTATTATATACGTTACCTTGACTTTGGCCGAGACCGTGACCGACGTGGTGACGTTTTCCGCGCCCTCGACCGGATACCAGAGCCGACACCAGACTCTCTCGGGTCCTCGGGTCTTGGTCGCGCCGATCACTCGCACCACGCCCGTGTTCGGGCCGCCGCGATGCGACGTTGACGTTGACGAGGACGACAGTCCCGTGCTCGACACTCGCTCGTCGTAGTAGGCCGAGTACACGAAGAACTTGAACCTGTTTTTTTTTGTTTTTCACATTTTTAATATACAGCTTTTTGGAGTAAATGTTTTTTTGCGTACGAGTTGCAGCGAAAACGAGATTGAAAATTAAATTTTTGACCTGCGGACTTTGAAACCTCTTTAATTAGTACAGAAAAATTATGAATAAAAGTTTAAAAAATTAGGAAACTTTCAACGCGTGCTTTGATCGTTACAAGTTTCGCGTTTCAGTTACATTAAAAAAATAAAAAAATAATGAAAAAATATCATATACAAGGTACGCAAATTAGGAGCTAGAAAACTTTCAACGAGCTTTGATCGTTACAACGTCGCTGCAACATTTCAATGAATCTCATTTGCTCATTGTGCAAACATATTTCGTTGAATTCATACTCGTTTATACATACAGGGTTGATCATTACTCGTGTAAACTTTTTCCTCGCTCGCGTAAAAAAGTATTTAATAACCGAGCTACTTTTCCACGCGCGCGCGACATGCCAAAGGAATGAGAAATTTTTTTAATCAAACGAAACTTTGAACTTTTGCCGCTGCTTCATAACCATATAAAAAAGCGAGCAAATTGAAAAATTGTACGCATAAAATAACGTAATGTAATATCGCAGCAGCTGCTATATACCTCGTGTTGGTGACCGGCAGCCACTCGGCGTGGCTGGCCCTGAGCGCCGGATCCAGCCTCGGCAATCTGGCCTCCAGGTTGGCCGGCAGACTGGGCAGTCCTCGCGGATCCATGGGCAAGGCAGCGGCTGCTGCTGCCGCGGCCGCTGCAGCTACCGCCCCCGACGCTCCACCCATACCCAAGCCCATACCCATGCCGAGGCCGGCACCACCGCCGCCACCGCCACCGTAGCCGTGTTGAGACTCCTCGCCGCGCACGAGCATGCCCAGGTGATCCTCCAGGTTACCCTTAAGGCCGGCGTAATCCTCCGGCTGCGCATGGAAAGAGAAAGAAAGAAATCATTTATCATCTCGTCTTGTATGGGGTACGAATAGCTGATAAAATTTCCACACACGCACAGTCTTCCGGGGGGTATAGAGTAGCATAGGCCTTATATTGCGCATACCGCATGTATGTACGTGTAAGACAAACGACGCTCCGCTACAACAAATATATGCACGCGCACACGACGACGACGTCGACAAGATAGAGATAGAGAACACACGTAGCTATCCGCAGCAAACACCCTGGCCTATGTCAGGCGCATACGCGAGCAGCAGCAATTCGTGCCTCGTACAATACTGCATCGTCGTCGTCGGGGATGCCTAGACCCTATATATACATGTGCCAGGCATAACAGGCAAGGCACGTACTTAATTTGCGCGCCGCTCGGAGCTTTCATTAGGCAGAACACAACGTGGCATACATAGCACACACATACACACACAGAGGTCATATATACATAGAGAGTCTCTCTCTCTCTCTCTCTGCTGCAGTGCAGTAGTTTTCGCCGCTCGCGCTATATATATACGTGTGTATGCACTACTTCTAGCCGAGAGTGCGAGAGCGAGAGCTGCCAGCAACATTAACACAGAGCTTGCGAAGATCAAGTTAGAGAGAGTGGCTGCTGCTGCTGCCTGTTTCGTCGAGTGTGTATATGTAGCGAACGTCGAATGTTCGTTCGTAACTACGTTCAGCTACCAAAGTGTGACGGTTAGGAAGGAAAAAAGAAGACTGGCATTCGAGTCGCTCTCTCCGAGACGAGAACATCTTTAACCCTCAATAAAATTATTTAATAGAAATATTAATATACATCTTATTATTTCTATATATACACGCCACTTGAGAAACGTGTGCCACCTTCGCTACTACTACTAGCGTTAATATAAACAAACGTAGCGTGGAAAAAATCATTCTGTCGCTAGCGCGCGAAAGGTATGTGTGTGTCGTATATAATAATGCATATATACGGAACGCCGAGCTTGCGAGCTTTCATTCACTTATAGTAGTCGCACGGAGCCGAAAGCAGCTGTCAGAGCGACGTACGTATGCCGCATGCAGATATCAGAGGGGCCACTTGAAAAATACATAGGCAGTGGTACACATCTGATGATGCCGCTGCTGTACTGGGAGTATAGTATTATAATATGTAATGCCTGGGGTGACGCGCCTGCATCACGGATAGTGGTATTGCATTTAGCGAATAAACAGCGCCGCGGTCGAGTTACACATTTACATCGCGAGCGCAGTTTGCCGTAATTAGATGTGAGGATCGCGCGTGTGTTTGACGCAGTGCTAATTATTATCGCACTGCGTTAGACGTAGAGGGAGGAAATTGTGCCAATTTTTTCGGGTAAAGTCTGGAAAAAATAAGACAATTTTAAGGTCTTGAAGTTTTTTGCTGAGAAAAATATGAAGTAGTTCGATGTAAGCTAAAGTACGAGCACATATTTGTACAGAAGCTCAGCATTTTTCATAACGATGCTCCAAAAATTCCATTGAACGCGTGTATGAGAGGAGAGAAATAAGACGAAGATACAGAGGGATGTAACAAGGAGTTTTATTCAATTTCATCGGTTACGCGAACACTCAAAAGTTGCGTTGCGAAATTTTATCGTAGAATTTTTTAACGAGCTTTTGATTAAAAGCTCACGAGAGATTTTACCGCAGCTCGGGTAAATTTTTGCTGCAGTTGTTTTCGTTGTTGTTGTTGTTGTTTTTGAGCACTTTTCACAATTACGGTGAAAATATTTTTTTCTCTCTGTCTTTTCTCTCCCCCTAAATTCCTCTATATACTTTGCAACGCGACCGCCACGACAGCGACGCGAGCATTAGACTTCCGACCGAAATATATCGCTTTGGTTTTGTATAGATATATAGACAAGCGTATATATACGTATGTGAAGCTTTCCCACGGCGTTGAAACTTTAATGCCCCGCGCGATGTATGCTATATGCGGCTAAATCCATAAATTCACAAAAACTCATTGTAACGCGCGTATATGCGGCTTTCAGAGCCAATTTGTATGCTTTCCACATTCGTAAGCGCTCTGATATTATTGTTGTTGTTGTTATATGCAAACCGCAATAATGGATGTATGCATTATAACAGCTGCATCGACGTTTCGGCGTGTGTGGCAGATGCTCCAGTGCGGTTGAAAAAATGCGTAACAAATAGTAGATACGAGAGCTTAGAGGATTTAAAGGTATATCGAATCTGATTGTGAATATCTGAAGGTGGATTCGTAGTAAGTAATGCGGGGCAATTTTTTATGAATGAAAAGATGTAATTGGAAGAAAAAAAATTGACTTTATGGCGATAGATATATTTCTTGGCGTATTTAATGAATATTGTCTTCTTCACATTATTTTTGGTCAAATGCATTATTAACGATTTGAAATCTATTGATCCTTCAAAAAAATCAATTTATGCTACTTTTTCAGATTGTTAATGTAATCTAGAACACGTGACGCCAATACATCGGCAAACTTGAATTCAATTCGAAAATTTTTTATTTATGAAAAAAGTGGATTCCAGAAAGAAAGAACTACGAATACTAAGATGAAATATACGAGACACATTTAGATATTTTCATATGGGCCCTTTGTTGTAGCTTTTTTATCGACCACTGCGTCTGGAAAATTTTCTGCGTGTACAGAAATCAATAGTGAAATCGGTATTTGAGATTTAGAGATAATTCTTGCTTCAATTAGGTACTTGGAAAATCATGTAAATCTATGTAAAAGGTGAATAATAACATTTTTACAGTCACGACAAAATAAATAACAGTTTGAAATACTTTATTTTTCTTTACAAAATTAAAAGATATTGAGAAGAATATTTAATCAATTACATAGCTGTATACTTGTGTAAGAGCAGAAATCTTTATCGCGACCAAATGGATATTATTCAGAACCAAACTCACATTAGTAAGAGTTGTTACAATTATGTTGTACATTCAAGTGAGGTTCAAGGTTGCTAATTTTCTATATGATCTACGAAAATAAATGTTAAATTTGAGAAGATAATTGCGGCCGACTTATGCCGGCGAATTATGACAAAATATCACACTCGAAGAGTTTTCAACTAATTTTAACTGCATTCATGTGATTTTTAAAGGTAGTCGTGCGTCCAAATGATTTGTTACAAATCTAACGATCGACGGGTTTTCTAAAAATATGTACTGCTTTTGTGTGAGATTTCAGTACATTCTTGTATCCAAATGATTTGTGACAAATATCACATTCAAAGAGTTTCCTCCGATCATGTACTGAATTGACGTGACGTTTGAGGTCACTTTTTTGTCCAAATGATTTGTAACAAACCTCACATTCAAACGATGTGCTTCGATTGTGTACTATCCTTGTGTGAATTTTGAGGTGTTGTTTGCGACCATATGATTTGTGGCAAATATCACACTCGAAGGGTTTGCTACGGATATGTACTAAATTTATGTGAGTTTTAAGGTGTTGTTTTTGTCCAAATGATTTGTGGCAAGTATCACACTCGAAAGGTTTGTTACGAATATGTACTGTATTCACATGCATCTTGAGGGTATGTTTGTATCCAAAAGATTTTTGACAAATTTCACATTCAAAAGGTTTCTTCTGTTTATGTACTGTATTTATGTGAGTTTTGAGGCTCCTCTGGTATCCAAATGATCTGTGACAAATCTCACACTCGTAGGGTTTGCTACCATAATGTACTGCATTCATGTGAGATGTAAGGATACTTTTTTGTCCAAATGATTTGTCACAAATGTAACATTCAAAAGGTTTGCGACGATCATGAATTGTATTTATGTGAGTTTTCAGGAGTTGTTTTTGGCCGAATGATTTGTGACAAATGTCACATTCGAAAGATTTACTACGATAATGTACTTCGTTCACGTGAGATTGGAAATTGTCTTGTAGTCGAAAAGATTTGTGACAGATGTTACATTCGAAATGTTTGCTGCGATATTGTACTGCCTCAATATAAGATTTGAAATACTTGCAGTTAAATGATTCAGGACATACATCACATTTTAATGATTCTTCACTATCGTGAAATGTATTTATATGAGCTCTGAGAATACCCTTGTAGTTGAACGATTTCAAACAAATTTCGCATTCGAAGGATTTGATCTGATTGTGTACTGTTTTCAGATGCAATTTGAGTTTAATTCTTAGACTGAATGATTCGTCACAAATTCCACATTTAAACAGTTTGATACCATCACGTACCCTTATTACGTTTCTTTTTAGTTTACTCTGGTATTCATAAGATTTACGATTAACGTTACATTCGACTGATTTACTGCGATCATGTTGTGCATTTTTGTGAGATATGAGGCTACTTTCACGTGCAAATGACTCGTGACAAATATCACATCTGAAAAGCTTGATTTGATTATCTACTGCAATCTCATGAGATTTGGGATTACTGTTTAACCCAAATGATTTGTTACAAATATCACATTCTAAGGTTTTGCTACGATCATGTAGTGTATTTATGTGATTCTTTAAGGTTTGATAGTATCCAAATGATTTGTAACAAATTTCACACTTGAAAGGTTTGCTTCGATTATATACTGAATTGTTCTGAGTTTTTAGGGAGCTATTATGGCTAAATGATTTGTAACAAATCTTACATCCTGAGGAATTGTTAAAATAATGAACTGCATTCATATGAGATAAAAGGATACTTTTTCGTACAAATGATTTGTCGCAGATGTAACATTCAAAATGAGATTTGTTCCAATAATGTACTGTATTCATGTGAGATTTGATGTTATTTTTTTGTCCTAATGATCTGTCTTCAAAGGATATGCTACGAACATGGACTGAATCAATGTGCTTTTTTAAGTTTTGCTGGTATGTAAACGATTTGTCACAAATCTTACATTCGAGGTGTTTTCTCCTCATATGTATGTCAATGTGAATTTTGAGTCTATTTTTGTTGTCAAATGATTTGTGACAAATATCACACTCAAACGATTTTCTTCGTTTGTGTACTGTACTGATGTATTTTTTTATTTTTTGCTGGTATCCAAATGATTTGGAGCAAAACTCACAATCGGCAGATCTCCTCCGATTATTTACTGTTGCAATGTAATTGCTGAGTAAATTCCAAATTTTTTGTAGGCATTCAAATGATTTGTTACACATCTTATGGCATTCACATGGTTTGCTTCGAATGTGTACTGTGCTAATGTGAAGTTTGAGGGTACCTTTTCGTCCAAAAGATTTCCGACATATGACACATTCGAAGGATTTGCTCTGATTATGTAAGTTTCTATGAAATTCGAGGTTGTCCTTGCGGCCATATGACTTTTGACGAATATCACATTTGAATGATTTGATTCGATTATGTACTGTATTTATGTGTCTATCGAGATTACGTTTAAGTGAAAATGATTTGTGACAAATTTTACGCACAAAGGGTTGGTTCTGATTATGTACTGCATTTATGTGATTTTTGAGATTATTTTTTAGTCCAAATGATTTTCCACAAATATCACACTCGAAGAGTTTGCTTCGGTCATGTACTATAATTATGTGAGTTCTGAGATTGCTCTTTTGTCCAAATGATTTCTGACAAATGTCACATTCGAAGGGTTTGCTCCGATTATGTACTGTATATATGTGAGTTTTAATGTAACTTTTTTGACTAAATGATTTGTGACAAATATCACACTCGAAAGGTTTGCTACGGTCATGTACAGTCATTACATGAGATTTAAGGTGACTTTTGTATCCGAGTGATTTGTGGCAAATCTCAAATTCATACTGTCCAGTGCTTTGATGTGATTTCGTACAGATTATCGATTTTTCTTTAAAATATTTTCGATGCGAATTATACTCATGGCATGGTTTGGTTCGAGCTTTTTTATCAAATATTGTCACCTTCTTGGATTCATCATATTTCGATCGGCACTTTTCTTTAAATAGACAATTACTATTATAATTGAATTCTTTTTTTATCAAGATGATGAGTTTCTTATCATTCAAGTTATACATGTCGAAATCTTGTTTTTCATTGTCACAAATAGTAGGTTACTTTGATAAGCAGGTTTGCAGATATTTGTCGTTATAAAGACTTCGAATCAAGTTCGCACTCCAAATTCAAAAATCTTTCATCTAACTTTTCGTGTAACTCAACAGCCTCGTCTATGCGTGATTTTCCTAAAATTAAAATTCTGCAATAGTTTTTGATTGTGAAAAAAAATTAGAAAACAAACAAATTATCTAACTCACTGCTGGTTAATAAAAACTAAATGTTGCAAAGTTTTGCAATTGGCGACAGTTCATCGATTTGAAAATATTATATTCGCATGGATTCGGCCAGGTATTTTTCAGCTTTTCTTTACTCTGAAGAAAAATTAAGTTTGATCAAGCAATATCGTTTGAAAAATATCATGAGTGTGCACAAAAAATTACACCTAATTATATCCCCGTTGCTTTATTTCAATCGTTATTAATAATATGAATTCACTGTAAATTATCACGACATGCACTGAGAAAATATTTGAGGTTAAACACAACTCCTATGCCGTCTTATTGACATAATTTGTAAACATCTTGCTCACTCGAGGAATTTGACTATTCAGTAGAGCAACAGATCGCTCCAAGTCGATATTAGCGAGTCGACTCCGCGATTGTGATAGCTTCTCGACGACACATTCCCCCACTACCGTCGACTGACCACAGGCAGTTATGTACACTGCAATGCACATAAAGGCACTCGCATATATAACATTAAAACTACACCGTAATTGTAGTGACACCATCGTTATAATATGCGCACAATTTGCTTTATACACACATGCGATAAATGCGGAGAAATAAATTCACACAAAAGATAAATGTAATTATGAACGCACACCAATGGAGTAATGCACAAAAAAAATTTGTTCTAAATAATAAATTGTTTCATTAAACTCTACAAATCCACCCTACATATTCGTAATCGGAATTTAAAAAATATTGTGTGGAGCTTTGTCGCTCAATCAGACTACGAAAACGCGAATGTTTTCTTTTCCGTAACTTAAAAAATATTTCATTGTACATTCGAAAACGTACGCTTTTTTAAACCTGCGTTCGAACATTGTATGCTAATCGCTGAGTTGGCCACAGTGCGAGAATCGATAAAGAATGCAATGCGATATGCAATCTGCGGTGCTAGCAGCCGTTATGAAGTTATGTGTACTAAGTACTCTTGTTTACTTGTAAGCTCTGACTGTCACCTCGCATTGTAGTCGCTTTTTTCACAACGCTGCCTACTTATTTTCAATTAAAATCTTTATTCTACCCTTACTGTAGAAGCATCAAATAGAATAGACATTACAAAAAACAATCTATATATTTGTCGTGATAGTGTTTGTGTAATATAGAGTAAAAAAAGAAAAAGGATAATTTTTATAAGTGTCATACAGTGGTAACAAGATATTTTACCAGTTGGTGAAAAGTTTAACATAGGATGTGTGTCACAATTATCTATTAATAGAGCGATAACAAGAGCATTTGAATTGAAAAGGCAGATTGTAAAGAGATAAAATCCTGCTGAAGAAATAACCAGATTGTCATAAGATTGTCAGAAGAATTTATCTTTCAGCATGCCGTATAAAGCGATAATTGCAAATTTAAAATATTACAATCAAACTTTATCTCTTAGCAATAGTAATTTAGGAGATAGTGATGTTAAATCTCTTGCTGAAGCTCTAAGAGGTTCTCAAGTTATCCAACTTGATCTGAGTGATAACAAAATAGGATGTAATGGTCTTAAATATATAACACAAGTTTTGAGAGACACCTTAATTACCACACTTAATTTAAAAAATAATAATATTATGGATGAAGGTTTAAAGTACCTTAGTGATTGTATAATAGGCACTAAACTTAATTATCTTGATTTGACTAAAAATAAAATTGGTATTGATGCAGCACAATACTTAATGAAGAAATTAAGTGATTCTAAATTGAGCCTTTATCTTGATGCCTATTTTGTAGAAGATTTTAAAGAAGAAAATATCAATAAATATATATCTTTAACTTCAAGCAATATGAAGAAGATTTATATTACCTTGCATAGCAATAAAATAGGTAATAATGGTGCTCAATTTATAAAAGAAATTTTTCAAAACATTACAATTGCTGAGCTCACACTTGATTGCCAATACTTACAAGCGGATGATGCTCAATATCTGGCTCAAGCTTTCAAAAATACCAAAATCAGTAAATTTAATATTTGTTACCATCATATTATCCAACCCAATGGTATTGAATATTTAGTACTAGCATTTAAAGATTGTAAAATAGTAAAGTTAAATGTAGGTGCACAAAAAATAAAAGCAAGAGGTGCTAAACTCTTAGCTGAATTTTTAAGAGAAGTGAAGGTTTTAGATCTTGATCTTTATCTAAATTACATTGAAGATGAAGGTATGAAATATATAGCGCCAGTGCTTGAAACTAGTGATATTATGTATATTTATCTTTCAAAGAATTATATAAAAGCTGAAGGAGCTAGATATTTGTCTGAAATTTTAAAACATTCCAAAATACTTTATATAGATTTATGCAATAATAGCATAGGACCTGATGGGGCTAAGTATCTAGCAGATGGTTTACCGTTTAGTCAAGTTACTCATATTCATCTTCATGGAAATAGGATTCAGTATGCAGGATATCAATACCTTCTTGATGTTGTCGATAACACCAATGTATCTTGGGTTAATTTAAACGACAATAATATAGAAGAAGGATTAGAAGAAGAAAGCAAGCTATGTCCATACACCATACCAAGAAATACTACTCCTATTAAATCCAAGATATGTCATGCATTTAAAGAATCAGTATCGCTCAATCCTAAGAATAATGAGTTTGAATTCATTGTACCCAGAAAAAGTATATACTTTGCTGTCGATATTGAACAATATGCTTATTTGATCAGAACTTTAAAGGATAATCCAAATTCTAAGTCGCATATCATTGATATGATGTGTAAAAAGGGTCATTGCACAGATTATGATTTGAACTTAATGAACAGTATTGATAAATTCATTGCAATAATGCCAAAAAAATTTAATAAATTTATTGATAAATGTACCAAAAAATTACCAGACCTAGCAGAGCAATTTAAAGATATGAAGCTGTACGATGCCAACCATTAAAGATAACAGTTTTATATTTAATCGATAGTAGCAACATACAAGTTTATCCAATGACGAGAAGAATAATTAGTGAAGATGATACATTTGTGATGTGAATAGAAAAGGGAAGACATTAATTAGTAACCGATACCTGTATTTTTCTTAAAATAATTTTATCAAAAAGAGGTAATAAATAATTTTTCATGTCTTGTTTTTTTAAACTTGCTTATAAATTTTTGCCAATACTTTTCCTAAAATATCATACCCTTTTATCAGCATAAACCTTACGTTTTAAACTTACTTTGATAACCATCGCTTCGAATGCGAATCTATCAACATCGTCTGTGGAAATTTCATCAGCAATTATCTTTCCCACACGAAAAACATCTCTGTTCACTCACCCCGATTTCCTCGTAGTCGGGTCGATCGGGCGCCGCCGCTAGCCGATGATGGGCCGCTCGGCCACGAGCTCCGAGCGCAGCACCACCCGCGCCGATGCCGTGACGCTCGTCGATCAGGAATATCTCCGTGAGCACGATGAGGCCGAACACGGCGAAGAACATGACGACCAGCATGAAGGACATGTTGGCGCGCTCCTTGAGGACGCTCGCCGTGCCGCCGCCGCCGCGGCCGCTCGTCCGACGTCCCATCCTCCTCTTGGCACTCTGCAATGTGTATATTACGCATCTTTAACGAGGAGAATTAATGGTTCGAGAGACGTTTTTTTCTTTTTTTTTATCTTGGTATACGAATTCGCTCGAAATTGAATTTAATATGCGTGAAAGAGGCAGAGCCGGGCTGCACTTTAGCTCGCGAGCAGAATCCATAACTTCTGCGCAAACTTCCTCCTGTCTTTAAAACTCACATCCTTTCATAAATTAGTACCCTTTTCTTGTGCGCTCTTCCAACTTTTACTTGAGAAATTCGCCTTGCCTCGTAAAATCCTGTACGTGGATTGTATTTTATGCATCAAAGGACCGCGACACGTTCACAAAGTGATACGGAAAATATTTTCTCGTCCATTAATAATTTTGCATCGAATTACTTATTAAGATTATTCAAAAAATAAATTTATAAAAATCGCTTTCAATTGTCTATTGACTCTGAGATATTCAATTAACGATATAATGCAGGGTTCGTTCCTCCTGGAAGCTTCTCTACAAGAGACAGATTTTATACCAACTAATTTCGGTCTCGACTCTATATAGGAATAATAACTTTTCCCAAAAGATGATTAAAAGTTGTTCTTCCTTTGGATGGTGCAGCAGCTTTTATGCGCTGCTGCTGCTGCTGCTGCTGCTGCTGCAGTTTCGCGGTCTAATCGTCGCGCCGCTTTAATTCCACTTCAAACCGCATTTACTAGTAGTTTCAAACGACGGCGACGCGGCAGTTTGAATAGTTTCCCTCGAGGTAAATCCGCGGGTATCATTTATATTACGACGAGAAAAACATGCGGAATAGACTTACTCAAAGTGTCCTGATTAGTCGATTGATCTTGCATGGAGGTACTTGAGGGTTCTGAAACGAGAAAGTAACATTTATCGTTATTATCTTTGTGTGAGGTATATGATCAAAAGCGAGCTATTATACGCTATTCAGATATGAGAAAAAAAGACGGATTTACGTGCGTTCTCGGGTGATCATTCATACGAACATTTTTTTCTATAATGTTGCAGAGATGGCTACATAGAAATCAATAAAATGCTTACTCGGGTACGCCCTAACGTTCTCTCGAATCTCTCAAATTACAAATTCACACGTTGAATCAAGTTTCCAGTTTTCAAAATAGTTTTCTCATATTTTCAAAGATATAATTTTCTCCTCTCAGATTTTCACAGGTAAGTACACGGAACTTTTCTTCGAGTACACACATATATTAAAAGCAAAGAGAACGCATTGATCAAAAGAACTTTCAAACAACGAGCTTGAATAATTCCACTTATAATATCCGTTACATACACTCGAAAGAAGAAAAAAAACAAGGCAACATAAACCATAGAGGCCACACGCTATATATATCGAGCTACTTTATGAATTCACTTTTATTCAGAAGCCGCTACTACTACCGCGCGGGCCGAGCTGTTTTTCATCTTTCGTTATATCGCCGCGCGCATAAATCTTTTTTTTTTTTTACCCCCTCGCTCTCCTCAAACTTCCATACGAGACGAGTCAAACTTAAGGAGGTTCGGGAGTCTCAGCGAAATGCAGCCAAATTTTTAAAACACGTTCAATTGCTTTGAAACTTTATAATATGAATGTTTATATCAAAATACAACTTTTCACCACAAAATTTTGTTAAAATGATGAAAAAATTTTTTGACCATTTAACATGGTTTCTTACGAGAAATCATGAATTTTCGCTTTCAATGAGCATAAACATAATGTAAAAAAACAAAAACTAAATAGAAAAAAATACGTACATGTAGGAAATTTAATAAGGAATAATTTGACTGCAAAAAGAAGTTCATCGACCGTTTAGTTATCGAGAAATAAATTGTTATGTGTAAAAATTCGTGGGTCATTTGCACGTACCCTAACCAACAAATGAGCTAGAACAACAAAAATATGTGCTCATTCGACTCTAATGACAAATAGAGTATTGTTTTAAGCCTAAAACATCGAAAAAAACTCATCAAAATGATTGAATTATTAATAATAGCTATAATTGTGTGCCAGCTCATTGAAAAAACCTACAATTTCGTGTTATTTCGAAGTTGGCAGCGCTGAAAATTTAACATTGGAAGTATAGGAGCCCCTCGCGTCCCGCTTCGTCCCCCTCAAACACTCCCGAACCTCCTTAAATGAGTGCCGCATACAAAGTAGCTCTTCGTAAATCATTATATTATACACAAACACACGTAAAAAAGTTGGCTATCGAGATTAAAAAACTTCGAGGCCGCGAGAGAGACGAGCGCAAAAAGAAAACGAACAAAAAAAAAAAAAATAATAATAATGGAAACGCGATAACCGTACGAGTGCGATTTCTGCGACGATGATCGCGTCGCAGTAGTACGAGCAAATTACAGTCGGACGGAATGGAGTCGAGTCGCATCGCGGTAAACGATGAATGAATAATGAAACGGTCATAGCGTTATGGTGTGCTGGAAAATTTCGATCGAAGATCCAACCCATATCCACAGGTGTATAATACTCCATGGCATCGATGTAAGTCGATATACGGCTTTAAGAGAGCAACAGGCAGAAATAAGTGTATATATACAGAGAGAAACATATACACGGCACCCTCGTGCGGCTATGACCCTCTTTTTGCGCGTACAGTGGTTAACTGCCTTGTCTCGATCGATATCGTACTTACCGCGTATCGAAGCGAACGTTTCCTTATATATATACCCCTGCACCTTTACGCTCGCTTTAGCCCGAAAATAATTTGTCGCGCGGGTGAATGGCTCGTATTGCTCGGTGCGAAAATAGGTTTCTGTGTGTGTGTGCGTGCGCGAGACTGCGCAGAGATCGTTCGTTGAACTTTCGATCGTCTTCGTCACCATCTCACATTCGAAGGTTTTTAAATTTTGTACACGTTGTACATCGTACATTTTATATCGCGTCGCATAGATTATGCATGGAAGTGCATGACGAAAAATGGGTGAAAATGCAGTCACGCGTGCATAATTTTTAATGCAAAAAGGAATAAAAAAAATAATGTATTCCATCCAAATTTAAACATTTCGATTAAAAATCAATGTTTTATAAATGATTTATTTTAATCGTTAGAAAAATATACGAAAACTGAATTGCAATTAAAGCCGGCCTTCACCGCTAGATGGCGAATACGTTTATCGCGGTATAGATCCGCAAGTGGTAAAGTGAGCATAATTGTATATATCCCCGAGCACGATTTTGAAATCCGAACTTTTTCCCGATGTATCTGGTTTTAAACTAGTTTTACACCCGGAGCAAACAAATTTATTTGACCAAAGTGATCATTGGTCGCTAATTAATTGACATAATCCTTAAATGGATACTCCTTTTCATGAATTAATTATATAATACGCACATGCCACCGAAGAATCTCCACACGGAAGGCGAGTGCGTCGAGAGAGAAACATTTGCTCCCCATCATTGAAACTTCTAAAACGCGTGCCCGCGCATCGTGTGTATTATTTCGCGGCTTCGCGTGCGCACTCGACAATAGAGATTACTCGCGTACTTTAATGCCGTATTCGTCATCGTGTATAAATGCTCTCTCGACGATTAAACGAATTAAATTATTTAATTAAAGCGCGCGCGCGTCAAAATTAGAACTTAATCGTTGTACTTGAATAAAGTGAGTAAATTCATACACGTATGGTGTGCATTATGTATAAACGGGGGGTGGCTGCTGCTGCAGGATGAAAATGGAAATCTCATGAAGAGTTGATGGTGCGTTGCTGCCGCTCGTGTGCCTTAACACGCGCGTATAACGCGTAAACGCGCTTTTGGCTCGTGTTACCGTGTGTGTATAGGCAGACACCTTATGTGTATACGGTGTTCGTTTTATTACGCATTTATATACACGCGAATATATACATATATCGTATGTAAACGCGTGTAACCATTATTGCGCGGCAGCGGCCTGCATGTAATTCAAGTACTTCGAGATGGGTGTACCCTAGAGAGAGATTTTTTTTTCTTTTTTTTTTTTTGGCAAACTTTTAAACTGTGCGCGAGCGCCGGGGATGTAACACGAGGATAGTAGAATGGCTTATCAAAATTCACTCCCCGAGCTAGCGAGCGGCTCGCTCGGTAAATAAACCGCCAGAAGCCTAACGCCATCTGCTTAAATTTTAAGCTGCTGCTACTATATGATATAGCTGGCACGAAGCGCCTTTATCAAAATTTCATCTTTATCCCGAGTCCCTCCTACTCCCCCCGCCTAGATAGCTGCAACGAAACGAGGCGAGCATCGAAGCGAGAGGAAAAAAAAGTAGCACGAAGGAGGATGCGGAAAAAAAAGAGGAGGAGGAGAATAGAGAAGCTGCTGGTAGTGGTGGTGGTGTATATTGGATATCGCTGACCGACAGCTGCTGCTGCTGCTGCTGCTAGGCTGGCAAATGTCAAAGGCCGGAAAACACACACGGAATCGAGCTGCTAGACGGCGGCGTCGGAGGTATATATATGTACGAACAAAATGCATAAATCAAAAGGAATATATACTGTTGCTATGTATAGTAGGTAGTCTAGGTGTTGTGCCGAACTCATACCTCTTCTCCTCCTGCGCGTGTGTGTGTGTGTGTGTGTGTGTGTGTGGATCATGGTTCACGCTCGGTACGGCGCGTGATCCGTGAATAATTCCGTTTGTTCGCGCAGTTTCTCTTTCTGCCTATAATATATATATACCCGAAGCATCAGTTTTCCGCCGTAGTTTCTGTGTAACGCGTGTGCGCGCACAAGGGTAAAATAGATCTCTCTCTCTTTTTTTTCGCACTCCCTCACCGTATGTACATCGTATCAGGTGAAAATGCGGACACATCGCAGCGGCTCTCGAGCGCCCCATAGCTCCCCATTTTCATCCATTCCGTTCCTTCCTTTTTTTATTCAATTTTTTTTTGTACCATAGCCCTCCACGCGTCTTATTTCTTATGTATACACGTATATATAGGCGTACAGGTGCGAGTCGAGTGCGCGCCTAACTCCCAAAAGTCCCATAAGTATGACACTTTTCTGCCTTCGGGATTTTCAGCTTTTTTTTTTTTATTTTCCTATTTGTTCTTCGCTGAGAGGCATGCTCGCGCGTGTGGTGGTAATGGTGGGCGAATTTTTACGAGCTACATATACCACACGCGCGCGCGCACAGGCTGAATCCAATGAGGAAAAAAGCTACGCTTGGGATTTTTTTCCATCTTTCATTCCTTTTTTTTTTTTTTCGTTTTTCGGTGATGTTACTCGCGCTCCAGGATGAATGAGTTTTTTTACCGATTTTTTACTCCCTTCTTCTTTTTTTTAATATTCACGACCTCGCTCTCTCTCTCTCTCTCTCTCGCACACGCACGATTTAATCTCTGGCAAAATTCGAGCGAGCGAGCGAGCGAGAGCTGAGCTGCGTTTAAGTGCGCACACACAGCCGAATGAATACGCGCGTACATATAACAGCTTTGAGCTTTTTAAGTTTATACCTTTATGTGGCATTGATATTTCGTCATCGGCGCTCGAGCGCGCAAATATTATTATTGTTGTAAGGAATTTTACTGCTCGGTTGACCCTATATATGTGTTATATATTCGAATGATATTTGCGCACGCAATGAAGCGCGGAAGCGTGACGAAATGTGGATACGGGCACGTAATAAAACAACAAACGATCCGTGATTGAGTATTATAAAAAAATTGTTTGCATTTTTCAGTTCGATCTCTGCGCGCACGAGTCGGTGATGAAATTATTTTATTATAAAAGAACCAGGTGACATTTCGAATGAAATATTTTCTTTTTTTTCCTACCTGTATAGATATCCTTTCATCGTGGCTTGGGTATTCAGAAACGAAGCTAATCAGAAGTCGTAAAGCTATAAAATGTCTGCGTTT